TGCAACTATGTGGATGGAACTAGAGGGTATCATGCTAAGCGAAAATAGTGAGTCAGAGAAAAAGACAAATATCATATGACTTCACTCATATGAGGACTTGAAGATACAAAACAGATGAACATAAAGGAAGGGAAGCAAAAAGAATATAAAACCAGGGAGGGGGACAAAACATAAGAGACTCTTAGATATGGAGAACAAACTGAGGGTTACTGGAGGGGTTGTGGGAGGGGGGATGGGCTAAATGGGTACGGGGCTTAAGGAATCTACTCCTGAAATCATTGCTGTACTACATGTAACTAACTTGGATGTAAATTTAAATAAATAAATAAATAATGTATTCTTCAGGACAGAGTTTCTTATTGGGGTAATGAAAATGTTCTGCTATAATATGGTGGTGATGGTTACACAACTTTCTGAATATAGTATAAAAACCACTGAATTTTACACTTTAAAGAGGTGAATTTTGTGACCTATGGATTATACTTAAAAACTACCCTTCAGGTATCAAATCTTGGTGAGAGTAAAACCCAGTTGAGTACTGGTATTTTAGAATATGAAAATGTGCCAAGATACCATTGTGTACCTAGAAGAAATAATTTGATAATCAGTGGAATAGTGTTTTTGTAATAATAAAAAATAATAAAAATTATAAACTTTATAGATATTTTAATAAAATATTAAAGTACTTTTATTATTAGAGACTTATTATCTCTTAAGCTTTGGTAATATCAAGTGTCATAATATTCTGAATGTACTGTATTAGCATTTTGTTATCTTTTCATTTTTAAGGGACTTCCTTTTTTTGAAACTAACATTTCAACTTTTCTACCTGAAATTTTTTTAGGAACAGAATTGTATCTGTTTCTCTCAGAAGAGAATTCCACAAGGTAAGAAATTATTAATATAGTAATAAAACAAATATGGTCGAATACAGGCTTAATTGCTTTTGATTTTTTTAATCCTTTTCCCTATATTTATTTCATATCTTTTCTTGATTATTCCAAGATTGTCACAAATTTGTTAGCTCCTTTTTTACTACCTCAGAATTTTGAAACAAGATGCATTTCATCTTATTTGAAGTTAAGATTAAAAGGACGTGATAAAAGTCATCACCTTTTGACACTCAAATACTGCTTTTAATGGCATCTTCCTAGCATTATTAGGGAACTCATTCCTAGCATTGGTAGGAGTGGGTTTGTCCATTTTAGGAAGAAAAGTTCTCTTTTTTCATTGGGGCCCATTTACCTTTTACCTAAATGACTCAGGGCAGTAGAGGATTCATAGAAGCTCTATTAGGGGCTGTTAAGTTAAAGGAGATTATTTAGCTGTGTTTCCACCTATGGAAATTATATAACTCCTGTATTTGGTTTAAAAAATGGAGTGCTTTCTACTGGGTAGATAAGAAAAGATTGAGTAGCATCTAGTATTAAAAAAAAAATCCTAGGGGCGCCTGAGTGGCGCAGTCGGTTAAGCGTCCGACTTCAACCAGGTCACGATCTCACGGTCTGTGAGTTCGAGCCCCGCGTCGGGCTCTGGGCTGATGGCTCAGAGCCTGGAGCCTGTTTCCGATTCTGTGTCTTCCTCTCTCTCTGCCCCTCGCCCGTTCATGCTCTGTCTCTCTCTGTCCCAAAAATAAATAAACGTTGAAAAAAAAAAATTAAAAAAAAAAATCCTAAATGATTATCTTTACAATGGATTTTCAGTCATCATTTAGATTATTATACTCTTTGGACTGCTGAAGGATGAAATGTTCAAGTGAGTATATATTGGTGTGCTCCTCTTGGTATGCCAAGAACTTAAAATCAGTTGCTTGGCCTTAAGAGATTACATCGTTTAAATTTTCTCAGGAACTCTTTGGTATAGGTAGTAGTGATCACTGCAGATTAATCTGACAACTGGAAAATGCTTATAAAGTGAATTATTCAGATCAATAACTCTTTCTCATTTATTCTCCTTTTTCAATGTAATGTGTGCTGAGGGGAACATGCACCCTCAAACACATCTTTCCCACAGATTTAATTAGGTCAGTTTTTATCCTGAAAACTGAAAACAGAGGGTTAAAATAAAGGGACCCACTGGCTGAAGAGGAGGGATGGGGAGCAATGCATCAGTAGTTTTCACGTACAAGTGTCTTGTGTAGCTTTCCCCCTGTGTTTTTCTTCTACTTCTAGAGGCTTCAGGGAGTCCTGGAACCTGTGTGTAGCACTTTCTGATCCTTTAGGGCACTACTCAAAGACAGTACTGCAGGAGAAATCCAGATCCCCATTTTCCTGGACCATCATGCTTAAAGCGAAAACAGAAATTTCACAAGATTTAATCTTAGTGAACTTGATCTGTTACATCTTTGTCCCTGTTCTTTTGGAAAATGAAATTTGAATCTTCGACATTAATACAATGTATGATGTGTAATACGTTGTATGACACATAATACAGCACATGACAGTGATGGATCATAGTATCTGGTACCCATAGGGCTCCCCTGTAAGTGCTCCATAAATGTTTATTTTTATAAATGCCCAGATGCTGTTGTAACTTTATTTTAGAGTAGAAAATAATCAAAAGATGATTATTCATATTTATGTAGTATCATCTTCCTACACAAAGGTTAAAAGGACAATGACAACTTTAGAAAAACTGTTGTTAATTGTGCACTAACGAATGGTTGAAATGATAAATTTTATGTTACATATACTTTACCACAGTTTAAAAAATTGTTTAAATTTTTGAGCAACTGGTTTATTATGAAAGAGGATAGCTATGTTTGAGGTATTGAGTTGATGATTATTCCTCAGTTTGTGTCATGCCCATCCTCATTGGTTCATTAAAGGACTATTTTTCTGTTTTCCTTTGTAACTAGTTCCCATACATACTCAGGTGTCTCTTTGGATCGTATAACTCTTTCACCTTTTACCAGTCCTCATATAAGTGACTTTTTAACATGTTTCATATCTATCCTTTTATGTCTTAGGAAAGGTTTTATTATTTTGTGTATTTTAATTATATGGTAGGTCTTAGTCCAATTCTTGTAGTCCCCTTCGCCCACCTCACTCTTCTGTTTTTCTGAGATCTGGCCATGTTGTTGAATGTTCGTCTAATTTGTTTTGTCCAACTGGTACGTTGTATTTTAGGTTGTTTATTAAAATGAAACTGTTACATGTAAAATTCCTTAAATGTATAAGGAATGTTACAGTGAGCATTAGGAAAAGGCCAATTTGTGTTCACTTTTTAAATATTAGAATTGAATTTAAAGAATGTGAATTAGATGAGATGGAAGATGAGAGGAAATATAAACATCTGTTTCAGAGGCTGAGAATCTGTTAGAACAGTGAAAGGAAAAAATTGTGGGACCTAACAAAAACATCTATTTTTCTTCTAGAAACATTGTGTTAAAATGCTCAGGTCTCAGTGTTAGCCCACAAAAGCTTAATAGTTGAAAGATAACCAGTAATATTTTGGAACCTCCTTATTACTGATTACCTATTAATTTCTACATATTATATTTGAACATTATCTTACTTTGTTTTTAATTTCTTTGAAGCATAACCATGTTTTCTGAATCCACATCACTGAATCTAACACAGAAAAAAACAGTACAAATGCAGCTTTCTAAATTTGGGATGCAGAAACACAGTTTCATCTAGAGTAGCATATTATTAGCAGAAGCAACTTCTGTTGGATCCCCTAACTATAAACTGTCAGAGTGGGAACTTGAGAAGCTCCAAGTCCAAGGTGATGGTATGCCTTGCAGTAATGAAGAGGAAAGAGAGAGGAACACTCCTATGAGAGGATGGGGTGATCCCTGACTTTAGAAGAAGGGCAATGACAGCTGTGATCAGATCAGGGAATGGCTTCCATCACAGAGAAGAAGCTAAAGGTACCTTGTGGGGAGAAGTTTGTGTGGGAGGAGGATCTTAGGGGCACTTAGTTCTGGGGGCTAGGAGAAAATGTGCTACTAATTCAGTCATGAAATGGAAAAAAGGGTAAAGGAATTCATGTTTGCTAAAAGTGAAGTCAATGTTGAGGCTTTTTGAAAGAAGTAGTTATTTATATGTCAACACTCAAGTATTTATACAAGTTCTGGTGGGAAAACCAGTAACTCTTTTGTTGTTGTTGTTGTTGTTAAGTTTTTATTTATTTATTTTGAGAGAGAGAGCAGTGAAGAGGCAGAGGGAGAGAGAGAGACAACTGAGCCACTCAGGCACCCCAACCAGCAACTCTTGAAGTTAATATTGAGTTGGTATCCCATGCATTGTTGAACACTGTTTTTAAAAGTAACAGTTCAGAGAATTATACATCAGATAACATAATCTCTTTCTCTAGTTTCATTCGTTTTTGAGTATTTTATATGGCATAGTAATTTCATTAGTCTCACTTTGTTATATTAAGAGATGGCCTAAGTAAAACAGATAGTGTAGTATTCTCATTTTACAAGTGATGCAACCAGAAGTGGACTTAGCTTTAGGTTCCCTATCAACTGATATTTTGCTCTAAATGGAAGATGTAATTACTAGTTTTAAATTAAAAGAAATTTTTCTAACCTGGAAGAACCTCATAGCCTAAAAAGTTTTAAAAAACACACACATATACAAACAAAAATATAGCCAGAGAGTAATTGATTGAGTTAACCTTCAGGTTCACTAAAGCAGCACTTAACAAATTAACTTGGATTTTGTTCGCTACTGTTATGTGGAACATTATTTCAGAAATATTTCCAATTTAGAACAAATACTATACATTTAGATATTGTTAAGTTTTGAACATGGCTGTTTACATTGGTAAACAGACACTTTGGTATCTAATTTTGATGGATAGGAGATTAGAATCCTCAATTTGTGGGAATGGAACAAGGAATTTGATCTCACATATTTCAGTACATAGTAATTCCCTCCCCCCAAGTCATTTGTAGTATGAAAATCAAGAAAACTGTGTTATAAACCTGTGTCTTTTATCCTGAGTGACTTAAATTGGTTCAGGCTAGCTTTAGTGGTATAAGTACAGATCAAGTTTGGTTTTGAATAGTCCAGTTTTATCCTAGGGCGTTCTAGGTCCGCAGTGTTTTTGGATATGCTAACCATTTGGTTTCAATACCTAGCTGACATTTGATCCTGTGGAAAGATTGTGAGAGATTTCACATGTAGGTGGTGGGATGAAGGAACACAGATTGACTCATAGTCTACTGAGTAGACTGGAGTTATAGGACTTTGAAGTTTAGCAGTGTTTTTGTTACTCAGAAATAAACTCTGATTTATTATTGTATATTAAGACTTCAAATGTAATTTCAGTAAATTTCAACTTTAGAAAATGTGGATAGCTTTATCATTTTTATAAAAGAATATAGTTATTTCAGATACTCTTGGTTTCACGTTAAACTCTTTAGAATTCCATATGAGCTGCCTTTTTTTTTTAGCCACTTGCTTTCAGATTAAAAAAAAACAAAACAAAACAAAACCAAAAAACCAAAAACTCAGAATAGGTTGAAATTTGACACAAATTGCTGCCACAGAACAAAAGTGCTGATCGAGTTAAATCAACCCCTGTAATGTGTATTGAAAAGAAAACCTCTCCTCTCTCCGCCAGTTTGAAGAACAAGCGTTTTTCCTGCCAAGAAGGGCTGACTTTAAATGGACCAGCTGTCCATATTAGGAGCACTGGGTTGCTAAGGTGACCATGGCTGTTTGGAGAAGAATGCAGCTGAGAGGGCAAGTTCTTGATGTGTGAGCTGAGGGAAGGAATGTGGTGTGATTGTGCATCATTCCTCCTAATCACATGCTCACAAAATGCTGTGTGGGCAGCGTGTAGAAACTACAAATCTGAGTGCTAGAGCTTGTGTGTGGTTAAAATCATTTTGTTTTCATGTGAGCAAGAGGCTTACAGTTTAGATGGAAAA